AGAGAGAGAGAGAGAGAGAGAGAGAGAGAGAGAGAGAGAGAGAGAGAAGGAACGCGAAAAAGGGTGGGGAAAAGATTTAGAACAGTCTAACAAATATGACGACCACAGCAACGACAAATTGGAAAAAGGAATAGTAATAACTGTTTATCTTAGTCTTAAGCCAGGCCTTCCTACAAAAAATGTTTCTAATAGATCAAAAGCTTACATTTCCTGGTGATCCCGAATACGATGCATACCCTATCGATACTAGGATCCCTAGTTCAACACTAGAGTCGTAAGGAATGGGGTAAAAGTAAAAATTTCAACATGCACCCCTCCCCCCCCCCCCCTGAACAATGCCACCCATCCTTTGTCTGTTTTGCATCAAACGCCCCCATCCTCTGGTTTATCTGGAATGAATCTTCGGTTATCACAACCATCCCCTTTGGCCACATTAGAACGCTTTAAATAAACTTTAGAAACTGCTATTTTGTGGAAAGAAAGAGGGAAAGAAGAGAGGAGAAAGATGAAGCACAACCAGCACAGATGGAGTGAACAACTTTATGATAAACTTTCTGAGAGAAAGTGAGGTGATCATGAGGTCTGACAGAAGAAAGGAATAGAGCACTACGATCGTCACCGTCTGCTCCAGACCTGAAACCCGTAAAAGAAGTATCCTTGAACTCAAAATTATTTTGTTTTTGTGAGCTTTTCACAGTAGTTGCAAGTTGCAACACAATTAAGTCATTTAAGTGTCGAAGATTAGAAGTGTTACAAGACAGAAACAAAAACAAAAAAGAAGGAGGAGAGATAAGGAAGATAGTTTAGTTTTAGTAGAAGTTTTACGGCGCTCGCAATTACATAAGATTAGGGGTGTTACAAGAGAGTAACAAACATTTTAAAAAGAAGAAGGGGAGACAAGAACGATACAATAATGTTTGACAGGAAAGAAGGTTTGAACCACATCAAAGCATACGCCAACCACCCAGTACTCACAGTCTGTGCGTTGAGTGCGTCAAATCCATCTGCGTCATCTGCATGCCCTGCTTCCCCATTCGTGCCCTCACCCGTCCCATCGGTGCCGCCATTGTGTAAGGTGACCGGTCTAGGGTGCACGCTGTTCCTCATCAGGACGTCCTCTGAGTTGTCTCCCATACGAATGGAAACTTCTCCCCCAGGGCTGTCGTAAGTGGTCGCCAGCTCGATATCTTCTGGGATTCTAGGAACAAAGAATCAGTTGTTGGCTTGGTAATGATGATGATGATGATGATGATGATGATGATGATGATGATGATGATGATGATGATGTGATAATATCATCGTATTCATCATCATCATTATCATCATCACCGTCATCACAACACCAAACACAACAACAACAGCAATAACAACAACCCCAACAGCAACCACAACAACCACAACAACGACAACAACAAAAACAACAAAAACAATATCGTTAACGTAATAATAATTATAAAGATTATTATAATGATAAAAGTAAGAAGTGCCACTTTTCAGGACGCAACAAACGCATGCGCAGTACACGTTGCGCTACTTAGTGCCCATAGGTACTTGTTTAGTCTGCACTTCCGGACCCCCACCCCTCCCTCCCTCTCCATTCATCATATTCAAAATGATGGAAAGAACAGAA